GAAGCCCTGGGCAAACAGCAGTGAGCTCCTCCTGCCCCTTAGAAGCTCGGCTGCAGCCGCGGAAACTTCCCAGAGGGCCAGACCCTGCCTTCCAGTCTGAAGGGCTTAGGGGAGGGGCGCTGGCGTCTATGCCTGCCCTGCTGGGCTCTTCATTGCTGATTTGTCACAGGGCGGAGGTGGGGGCTCGCATGTGCCCCTCAGGGGCCCAAGCTTGAAGGTGAAAGGCATGGCTTGGAATGGGAGTTTGTCCATCAACATATATATGTATCTGGGAACAAAAGGGAACCAGCGGGGGGCTAACGGCAGAGAGACGGGCAGAGAGAGGGAGAGGAAGCGGGTCAGAGAGCAAACAAGCGCGTAAGGGATGAGAGAGAAATCTCAGAGTTTAAATATAGAGTATAAATATTTGAAAATCTAGGGAACTGTACATGTGTGGAAAATGCAGATTGGACTTACAAAGTCAGATACCAGGAGGCAAAAATGTTCATTCTCTTGAAATATTGTGAAGGGCAGACCGTGTCTATTAAGGAATCTATCTCTTACACACACACACACACACACACACGTGTGCACACACACAAGTCTATAAGCACACAAAAGCAATGACATGTAGATACACAGACAGGCACACCGATACCCAAACATACACACCTAGAAATACAGAAAATATGTACAAGTCTCTGCCTTTTACTCAAAGGCATACCTCCATGCATTCATTCACAAATATTCATTGAATACATCCCCTGTGTCAGGGACAGTGCTAGGTTATGGGGGTACGGTGGTGACCAGGACCATGTGTCCTCCCTCTCCTCACAGAGTCTACAGCCTACGGACATAGCTGAGACATAATCCTGCACATGCAGAGTTAGAGCCCGAGCTGGGGGCCACCAAGGCGGCGGGCTAGGGGTTCAAGACCAGAATCAGACTCACGTTCACCGTCAGGTCTCTGATAGAAGGTGAAGGGTGTGAATATCCTCATTACTGTCTCATTTCCCATGGTTCCTCAAGCCCCAGACCATAGAAGGTGCTGAATGAACCAACGAATGGATTAGTGAATGAATGAGTGGATATCCTGCAACAAGGGCCACACGGCCTTGGTTCCCCTAGAACTCCATTTACCCTCTATTCCTAGAGAAGAAGCACCCCCAAGCTGCCTTCTGCTCATCTCAGTCTTCCCAGCTCAGGCCACTCAGAGGGCATGGACCACAGGTCCAGGCTACCTGCCAGCCCTGAATCGCCAGGGCCTGTAACAGGGAATGGAGCAGGAGATGGGTTGAGGCAGGGGGCATCAGGCTGCAGCTTGAAAGGCCGACTCTGCTGAGCTTTGTAAATCTGAGGACAACCCCCACCCTCTCCCCACCCCCATGTCCCCAAAGGAACAGAGGCTATTTCTTCTTCTGTTCTGGCATGATCCCTACCCTCAAGTGTTTCATCTGGGGTTCCAAACTCATCGCAAAGCCCAAGGAGAAATTCTCCATCCTTGGAGCAAAAGACATAAATCTTTATTGTTTGGCTCCTGTTAAACCTCATTTCACCAACTCCTTGCTGCCCCTCGGAGCCCTAGTGGTGCAGTGGTTAAGAGCTACAGCTGCTAACCAAAAGGTCAGCAGTTTTCCTCCACCAGCCGATCCTTGGAAACCCTATGTGGCAGTTCTACCCTGCCCTATAGGGTCGCTATGAGTTGGAATCGACTGTACGTCAATGGGTTTTGCTGTCCCTCATTGCTATGGAAAGTCAAGTCCTGACCATCACCAGAGAGCAAGGGTGGGCCCGAGGATGGAGGAATGTGCTTTGTGTGGCCATATTCCCATCCCACTGTGTGTGTGTGTGTGTGTGTGTGTGTGTGTGTGTGTGTGTGTGTGTGTGTGTGTGTGTGTGGTCTCTGGGTGGCACAAACATCTAAGCACTGAGCCAAAGGTTGGCAGTTCAGACCCACCCAGAGACACATCGGAAGAAAGGCCTGGCGATCTGCTTCTGAAAGGTCACAGCCAAGAAAACCCTATGGAGCAGTTCCACCCTGAAACACACGGGGTCGCCATGACTCGGAATCGACTTGGCAACTGGTTTGGTTTGTGTGTGTGTGTACATGCGCGTATACACATATAGGAGTGATAATGAGCCCAGGCTGTCGCAGACGCTGTCCGCACCCACCGTCGTCCTTCAGACCTGACCATTCTTGTGTACTCCGGCCCCCTTCCTGCCGCCAATATCTGCATTTCTCTGCCTCAGAGCTTTTCCCAAATCTGCAGGAGGCTGCTCTGCCCACATGAGCGTAGCACACCCGAGAGCTGAAGAATTAATCCCCCCTGGAAGCAGCCATCAACCAGAGACTCTCAGGAGTTGGTGTTTAAACACCTCAGCGACCTCATCCCCCAGGTGGGGTAATGCTGAGGTGTGTTTTGCACTGTTTCCTACAGTTTACCTGCCAGAAGAAGATCCAGCTGGGCTTAATGGTGTTGTTAGGTGCTGTGGAGTTGATTCTGACTCATAGTGACCCCATGTGACAGAGTAGAACTGCCCCATAGGGTTTCCTAGGCTGAAATCTTTACGAGAGCAGATCACTAGGTCTTTTCTCCAGAGGAGCCACAGGTGGGTTTGAACTGCTGACCTTTCGGGTAACAGCTGAGTGCTTAACCATTGGGCCACCAGGGCTCCTTAGCTGGCTTAACAGCACACCCTTCAGTGCCAGCCTTCCCTTCCCCATACCCCTGTACGCCAGGTGTTCCCTGTACCTCCTGACTAAACTTGAATCCTTGTTTCAGGGTTGGCTTCTGGGGGAATCCAAATTCAGACGTTGTTAGTTACCATCAAGTTGGTTCTGACTCATGGCGACCCCATGAACAACTGAACGAATTGGTGCCCAGTCTTGTGCCATCTTCATGACCAATGAATGCTCAAGTCCATTGTTGCAGTCACTGTATATTCTGAGTGTCTTCCTACCTAGGGGGCTCACCTTCCACCCCTGTATCAGATAATGTCCTATTGCAACCCATAGGGTTTTCATTGGCTAAGTTTTGGAAGTAGATTGCCAGGCGTTTCTTCCTAGCCTTAGTCTGGAAGTGCTGCTGAAACTTGTTCATCACGGGTGATCCTGCTTCCAGCATCATGGAAGTACGCAAGCCACCACAGTAAGACAAATTGGCAGATGGGTAGTGGAAATTAAGACATATGCACACTAAACTCTTTGCAAAGTGCCAGAAAAGCCTTCCTTGGGGAAGGTTAGCTTCTCCAAGGAGCCAGCCCTCCTTAGAGGAACTAACAAGGGGCTTCTCAAGGGGGATAGGCTGTGTCTGAAAGGAGATGGGGAGATGTGTTTCTGCTCACAAGATATGAGGCTTGGGTTCAGGCTAAAAGAAATTCTCTGAGCTCCTCAACCCTCGCACCCACCACCCCAGGCCCAGCACCTACCTCCTGGGAGCAAAGCCACTTGGGAGACTCTTCTTCATGTTCTCTGGGAGGAAGGAGGTGAGAATAACCAACCTCAGGGAATATTGGAGAGGACACAAAGTTTCTTTGATAATCTTAACCTCTTAGTAACCCAAAGAGGCAACCAATATGTAAATGCATATAAATATACTCCCATATTTAATATATAGAGAAAAAAGGCCTGACTGCTTTGGGAAGAGACTTTATTAAAAGACATTTGAGTGTAGAAGGAAAAATTCTGACTTTGGGGCTGGATAGATTTGGTTTGGGTCCCAGTTACATGTATAAGACACTTGTCATTGTCATTGTTAGCTGACATTGAGTCAGCCCTGGACTCATGGCGACCCCATACACCACGAACGAAACGCTGTCTAGTCCTATGTCTTCCCCATTATCAGTGCAGTTTTTATTGGCTAACTTTCAGAAGTAGATTGCCAGGACTTTCTTCCACAAGACATTTAAACTACCTGAAACCTCAGCTTCTTTGAGTGAAAATACTTAACTTTTAGGGTTGTTGAGTAGATTAAAGATACTTTATAAAGTACTTAAGAAGTTCCTGGCACATAAAGAGCAGTTATTTTTAATAATTTTAATAATAATAATTAACAACTGAAAATTATACAGAATCTGCTACTAGAAATCATCGTTGTATATTAAGTTCTCATTCCACTAGAAAAAGGTGGTAATTAGTGCTGAAAGGAAGTGATCCTTTCAAAATTAAGCTTACCTAGAAATTTAGTTGGTTTCAATAAAGAAATGGGTGAGAAAAGGGCGTTTGAAGATGCTGCGAAAGAGACTCAGTATGGTTATAATCAGTCTTTTTAAAATTCTAACTAAGAGGAAAGGGCATGACTGCGAGTGGACAGCCCAGTAAAACCATGAGAGTAACGAGGTACAGGAGTCCAGTGACAAGGCCCAGAAGGCAGAAGGGGAGTAGGAAGCTGATGATAGGGAACACAAAGTAGAGTAAGGATATTGTTGATGTGTTGTGAGATTGTTAACCATTGTCATAGGGCAACATTTGTAGTAACTGTTAAATGGGAGACTATTTTGTCCTGTAAGCCTTCATCTTGAGTGAGAATAACAGCACAATTAGAAGAGCGTAGTCAATGTCACTTAAATGTGTATGTAAAAAAAATTTTTGAAATGGCGTATCTTTGGCTATGTGTATTTTCACAAAAAAAAAAAAAAAAAAAGTTGAGAATTTAGAGGGTTAAAATGTTGTGGGGTTGTTAACCAATGTCATAAAACAGCATGTGTGTTACTGTTACATGAGAAACTATCTGTTCTGTAAGCCTTCACCTGAAGTACAATAAAATATTTAAAAAAAAAAAGAAAGAAAAGAGGAAAGGGCATGAATGCAGGACATGCAGGCCATTAGTATTAACAGCAAAAGAAAAACTATTTCTCTCCAATTTGGAAAATAAGTAGGTAAAAGTGAGTGATATGTTCCTATCAACAATAAGCTGAGTGGATTTTGGATGGTGAAGCAAGACCAGACCCAAACTTGCTCATCAAGGCCTAGATGCTATTTCAGTGATATCAAGAAGAATGTGCTTGAAAGGAAGAGCATTGTGCTTGCTTCAAGCATGTATACTGCAATGGGAACGATACAGAGAAGATTGGCGTGGCCCCCGTGCACGGGTGACACGCAAATTCGTGAAGCTTTCCACATTTTTTTGCAACTAGGGTCACATAACAATATGTGTATAAATTTTTGTATGAGAAGCTAACTTGAGCTGTAAACTTTCATCTAAAGCACAATGAAAAAGAAAAGAGGATCTAGTTCAGTTGAGCTTAAATTGGAATTTAGAACTAACAGGGACCACATTGTGCCCAAGTTTTTGATCTCTTTTAACTTTTGCTCACAGAGAAAGGGAAAGGGAACTAATTTATATTAATATTTTATATCTCCAGGAAAAGCGGTTAGTGATCAGGAGTATGCGTTCTGTTTTATTTTATTATCACACTTATCCTTCTCCTAATTGCACAGGTTTTTAGAGGGAAACAAACTTAGATTAAGATGCCAAATCCACCAGCAATTGTCGAGAACTGTGAAGAGTCTGAGATTTTATGCTATTTGCAAGTTAATAAGTTAGCCTGGTCTTGTCACCGTTTCATTGATGCTGGAAGAAGACTCGAGATTGCCAGGTCAGAGACAAAGGACCGTTTATTACTCACAGCAATAGCTGTAGGCAGAATATCATCATTTTTGCACCAGCTCCCTGAGCCCCAGTTCCCATTATGCAATTCAAAAGCACCAGAGGATACCTGCATACACAGTGGGTTATGTTACAGGAGAGGAACCCTGAGCTTGGAGAACCTGAATCTTTTATATTAGACAGTGAGCAAGACTGCTCTTTGCTCCAACGGTGACACTGTATCTTCCAAAGCTGTTTGCGCTGCTTGTAAAGATAGTTCAGGATAAAGGCAGTCAGTGTCTCTGCCTGCAAGATGTACAGAAATGCAAGAGACTCATGGAAAATTGTCTCCCATACTCAATAGCTGTGTAATCTTGGGCAAACCACTTGTCCTTTCTGAGCCTCAGTTTCCTCGTTTGTGAAATGGAGATAATACCAGTCTTATTTACCTAGTGCTGCTGTAGCGGAAATATCACAAGTGGGTGGCTTTAAAGAACAGAAATTTATATTCTCATAGTTCTGGAGACTAAAAGTCCAAATCAGGGTTTCAGTTTCTTCCTTGCCTGTAACCTTGGGCGTTCCTTGGTTCCTTGGCCTTCCTTGGATTACAGAAGATCCTCGCGTATTGTCTGTATTCCCATGTGTGCCCATCTCTGTGTCTAATCTGCTCTTTTTATAACTCAGAAGTAATTAGATTTAGAACCCTCCCTAGTAGGGTATGATCTAATTAAGGTAACAAAGGAAACCCTGTTTCCAAACAGGATCACATCCACAGATATAGGGGTTAGGACTCCAACACATATGTTACCCATTGCCGTTGAGTTAATTCCCGCTCATAGCGACCCAACAGGACATAGTAGAACTGCCCCATGAGGTTTCCAAGAAGCAGCTGGTAGATTAGAACTGCTGACCTTCCAGTTAGCAGCCGTAGCTCTTAACCACTGCGCTCGCAGGGCCCCAACACATATTTTAAGGGGACACAATTTAATCCATAACATACTCATCTGGCACATAGTTGGAAATAATAAAGAAAGTATTAGTACAGGCTGCCATGGTTTGGAATTGACTCAATGGCAATTAACAACACAATAACCATTTGGCCTCCGAAGCACAGTTCCTGGCACCCAACAGACACTCAGGAAATGTAAATTCCCTTCAACTGAATGGCAGTTAAATGAAGACTTTATTCTGTGCAAATTCCACCCTTCTACCAACTCTCAGGAGCCCTGGTGGTGCAGTGGTTAAGAGTTTGGCTGCTAACCAAAAGGTCAGCAGTTCATATCCACCAGCTGCCCTTTGAAAACGCTGTGGGGCAGTTCTACTCTGTCCTATAGGATTGTTATGAGTCAGAATCGACTCGAAGGCAATGGGTATGGTATGGTACCAACTCTCATTAAAATAATATCCAAATGAAAACTTTTCCATCACTATTTTGTTCCAAGATGGCAGCCCACCCAACAGATAGCGTCTGCTAATGTTTCTTGATACCATTAGCAGAATATCAAACTCAATTCGTTTCAGACTGAAGACTCCGCATTACACAATCCAGAATTCCCAAATCCTCCCTGTCAGTGGTTCTCAGATCTGGCTGAATATTTAAATCACCTGGGGATCTTTAAAAAATGCTGGTGCATCCAATACCAATTAAATCAGATTCTCCAGGAGTGGGATCCAGGCACCAGTATGTTTTAAAATTCTCCAGGTGATTCCAATATGCAGCCAGGGTTGCACGAACTGGGCTTCAGCTCTTATTCCGACTAGAGGAATTTGCATGTGCTGCTTTACAATTCTTCAGTTGTTTCACTTAAGTATAATTGGGCTAACTCTGAAAAGGTCACCAGGCATTTGCAAATACTCCCCCGAGCCCAGCAGGGAGCTGTGGCCTGGGCAAGGGGGAATGGGCATGCAGGAGAAATTGAAAGTGCTGTGTGTGGGGTAGGGATGAGGAGGCTCATACTCTGATAGAAGTTAGAAGCGAGCCCCTGTGCCTTGGGCACTCCACTAGGGCCCTGAGAACAGGGCTCTAGGCACACTGGAAGTTCAATAAATGCTAGGAATGGTCTCAGGCTCTCCAGCTCCCCCCATCCCAACATCAGACATTCTGTCTGCACACTTAGATTTGAAAATAGCTCCAGTCCTTGCCTTGCTCCTTGGCAGACTAGATTATAGGATTAACTCTTCTCCTCCCAGTTGGACTATGAGAAGCCTCCTTCCCCTTTTTGCTTAGAGGTGAACAATCAATAGTAAAGATTTTCTTGCTTTCTTTTTCCACCTTTCTTTGGAGCTCTTCTTAGGCAGTTGTCTTTGTTTTGCAGGCAGATCCTAAAGGAGAACTTAAGGAAAGGCCCAGCCCCGGGGACAAGGACAGGCCTCTCGGTGGCCTGCTCTGGGGATACCTGGTTGCTCACTGCTCTGCTCACTGCGATGTGGTTTGCTTCCTCCGTCCCTCTATTCTGTTGCTGGTAGGTAAAGGCGCAGACAGGGCGTTCAGGGCCCTCAAAGTCGGAATTCTGAATTCAACTTGAGCTAGTCTTCAATCTCCCTCACTCATAAACATGCCAATCACCCAGGTAATTGAGACACCTGAAGTCCAAGTGAGCCTCATTTGTCTAAATAATTTAGGCTGCATAGCAAATTACCTGAAACTCAGGTGAAAGAGGGCTTTGCACACCGGGGAGAGCCTGCCGGAGTCTTTGTTTCTAAAGGGATGTTGCGTTTTCCTCTCGGTACTTGGCTGGAACAAAGGGGACCACAACCACTTAGGGATCTCAGTCACTGAAGGCACAGCCACTGTTCCAGCTGAGCCGAGTTTTAAAAACCATGTGGCACTGGGCCTTCCCACAGAACTCAGGCGGCGGTGAGGGAGCCCTGGAGCCTGCTTTCTGCTGGACTTGGGCACGTGGATTGACCAGGGCGAGCCTCTCTTCAGACTGTCACCTGTCAGGAGGTGCGGGGTGGGTGGTGGAGAGATGGCCCATAGGGAAACTGAGTCCAGGCACCGCCAGTGCCCCACCCTCCATGGCTCATCCGGCTTTTAAAATCATGATTGTTCAGGTGGGAATGTGGGGCTTGCACAGGGTTTTGGGGAAGTCTTTTTGCCTTCAAAGGAATGGCTGCAGCGTTAGATCTCCCACCTCCATTCCCAAGCCCCAGTTTTCCATTATTTAGGAATGACGGCACAAAAGAAGATCTTTGTTCCTTCCCTCTTCCTGGCAACCTGCTGTTCTCATCCGACCCACCTGAAGGCTTGCAGGCCTCCTCCAGTGCCATCACAGGTCCGTCACCTCAGAAACAGGCAATGAGGTCAGGCAGCGGGGCTTGATGGCTTCAGGCAGGGAAGGAGGGGAGCCAAGAACAACGGGGCCAGGGTTTCGGGACTCCAGCTTGAGAGGAATTAGAGTACACAGAGGGAGGACAACGATATTGCAGCCAATGAGCTTCCCGAAATGGGGCAGCGTTCGGACAGCGGGCTCCGTCCATTACCTGCTCCAGCCTGAGCTGCACCCAGCCCAGCACCACACCAGGAGCCTGATTGCAGATCCAGGGCTGGTTCCACCTGTAATTTGTCGGCTTAAAGGTCGGCATGGACTTCTAAGGAAATCGGATTTCCTCGGGGCCATTCTTTGGGGACTGGGCTCTCAAGACTAATGGGTCCAAATTTCCACACAATTTGGGCTTTAAATTCCCAAAGTGGGTAGTGTCCAGAGAGACAAGGAAAGGACTCTGTGGGAGAAAGGAGGCGTGAGGAGGGCTGGTGGAGCCCTAGGAGAGACAGAGGCCACGTCATAAGTCACCAGCTCCATTTTAAGAGAGGAGTTTTAACCTCCCCCAGGTTTGCTTTTGAATTTATTAGCAGTTTCATTTCCTTGGGTAGTAATTCATTATCTCGTTCCCAGCCTGGGAACCAGGGCTGGCCCCATGGTGACATTTACCTTCCCTACCCTATAAGTGATGCTTTTTCCGCTGTGTCATCTTCAGATCACCCTCAGCCCTGGCCCCGTGCTCGGCTGCACCCCACCTGCCCCAGGACGTCGCAGCTCCCACAGGGGCAGGCTGACCGAGAAGGAGGGGGCTGTCCCGGACACCTGGCGGCCCCTCTCCAGAGCTGCTCCCGCCTGTGTGCGTTTCTGATGCTATTTGCACCAGGCTGTCCTCGGGGCCCGCGCCTCTTCATTGTGAAGAGAGACAGCTGCAAGCCGTGGTGAGATAGAGGCCCTCTGTCAGAGCCCAGATAACTGCTACCGGGACAGAAGCGAGCGGAGGGCTGGAGGCGGCCACGTGTGTCAGCTTAACTGGAGGATCTGAAAAAGCTATTTCAATCGCGTCTCCAAGTGGGAAACTGGCAGATGCCCTTCTGTGGAATGAAGGATTTCTCTTCCCCATCCTCTCTGCCAAGGAAGAAAGCTTGATTAACAAGTGGTATGATGATGTGATTTTGTCAGGAAGAAGTCCTTCTCCCAAACCCTTCTCTTCTCAGATCCCAGAAACAACTCCAGGCTGATGCTCAACGCGTCCCAGCCAGAACCGAGGATGGGTGC